TGCAAAGGCTCAGAGGCAGGAGGGCGTGAGACACTGGGGTGGGACGGGTGGGACCTGGCTCCTACCAGGATGTGTGCGTGCATAAGAAAGGGGAGTGGGGTGCTAGGATGAGGCAGGTGTGTCCTGGCTCCCACACGGGGCACATGCGTGCATAGGGAAAGGGAGTGGGGTGCTGGAATGGATGGCAGGTCACACGGAGACAGTTTCTCCTAGTGTGACTAGTGGGGAGCATGGGAAGGATTGTTTTCTTTTTAATGATTCATCTCTCTGCAACTCTGTCAGACTGAAGCATGAGCACCCACCCTCTTGGGCACAGGGTCTCCTGCAGGTCCACTTGTGGGCTGGTTTCCGCCGGCAGAAACCTTGCAGCAGGGACTGGCTTCCACCTGAGCATCGTGTTTCCTTTGTTCTCCTGGCAGCCATTCCACCCTTTCCTTCCAGTGCCTCTGGCTCTGGTGGCCTGGCTGGCTTTTTGACTCCCCACCTTGCCTTGTCCCCTGGGGCTCTTGACTCCCTAAGGCCTTGTCTACCTGCCTTTGTCTGACCCATCGCTCCCTCAACCTGCCTGGCTTCCAGCCTCACTGTGACCTGCAGCCTGGTCAGCCTTTGTCACCCAGAAGCCAGCTCCTTCTCAGCCCCCCATTTCTGCCCCAGCTCTTACCCCAACTGGCACAGTCACAGCCTCTCATGCCCTGACTCTTGGGATCATAGGGAAACCAACTGGGGCATGTGGGCTCGCCAGAGTCTGGGTGTCCTAGCCAGGCACCTTCTTCCACAAACAACATGGTGCTGAGGACTGGTCTCTTTCCAGGCATCGGGACTGTATCCCCAACACCTCTACTACACACCCCCAATATAGTGCCAGGAGAGCCACCCACCCTCATTAGCACAGGTTTCCCACCCACTCTTGATTTATTCTCTTGACTGCTAACCAGAAGGCTGGCAGTTCAAACACACCAGCCACGCCTCAGAAGGAAGGTTGGACAATCTACTTCCATAGAGATAATGCCTCCGAAACCCAAGTAGGGGTCGCTATGAGTTAGATCCGACTTGATGGCACATAACAACAACCACCACCCCTAAGACTTGGCTTCAAACATAGCAAACATCCTTCCCATTCCTGCTCTGTCCCTGCCCACACATCAGCCTGGCACTTCCTCTCAGTGCCTCCCTCCCACCTCGCCTGGCTGGTTGTCGCCCCCTAGAGGACATCCAGAAAGCCTACCACCACTACCAGCATCGTGCATCATCTGCAGAGACAGGGAGGGGAGGGACAGTCCCATGCTGGTGACAAGTGCATGGTGCCCCTCACCCAGCAGGAGCAGAAGGGAACTCTCTATTCAAATATAACCACAATTTATAAAATTATGCAACAGGAGCTGCTCGGGAAAGGTTCTGTAGATCCATGTCCAGCATGCGCATGGGGTCCCTGTAGCTATTTCTCAGTCCCTGGAGTTGGGTCAAATCTGGGTATAGGCATCAGTGGTCTTGGGCTTTGGCCAACACCACCTCCCACACTTCTCTCTGCTGCAGCCTGTCATGCAGGTTGCAGATAAGATCCCCCATTTCACAGAAGGGAGCACCTTTTTCCGTTCCCAGGCTGGGCTGGAGGACAGGAGTCCTCAGCCCCGTGCCCTTTTGCTGGGGGGGTGAGTCCAGCTTGTCGCTGCCTCCACCTGCTCCCTCACGTCAGCCAGTGTGCTTGCTCCGACAGTGGCAGCATCTAACGGCTGTGCCTTCCTCTGTGTCTCAGGGTCAAATACGAGGCCCCCCAAGCAACAGACGGCCTAGCTGGAGCCCTGGACGCCCGGCAGCAGAGCACTGGAGCGGTAAGCAGCGGGCCTCACGGCCACCCTAGGGTCTGTTCAGAAGAAGGTGAGCACTGCTCACTATGTTCTGGGCACCCGCAGCCCTCCCTTCATGTGGTTCTCAGATTGGTCCTTTAAGGCTAACACGACCATTCCCCTTTACACCTGAGCAAAGGGGTAGAGCAAGGGTTCCAAACTGAGTCTGAGTCAGGTGGCAGGAGCCCAGCAGCCCTGGGGTCACCTCCCAGCTGCCTCACCTGCCAGCTGTATGCCCTTGGGCAAATTGTGATCCTTATAGACACAGGGTTTTATATAGATCTATAGTAGCTCTGGTAGCATAGTGGCTAAAGCACTTGACTGCTAACCAGAAGGCTGGCGGTTCAAACCCACCAGCCACTCCTCGGAAGGAAGGTTGGGCAATCCTACTTCCGTAGTGATACTGCCTCGGAAACCCAAGGAGGGGTCGCTATGAGTCGGGGCCGACTCGACGGCACATAACAACAACAACAACATAGTAGCTTCTTATAGTACCGCCACATGGTGCTTGTAAAGTACTCGGCACAGAGTTAGAGTTTAGCCACCACCTCTGTAAAGGACCCTTTATTTTGCCGGAAGGCGGACAGAGGGCATAAGAGAACAGACCTTGAAGCAACAAGGAGGCATCCAAGGGCAGCATTGTGTTCCATTTAGTTCCTTGACTCTGCTGAGTGACAGCCCGGTGCCCAGCAGAGAGCACACTCTGTGGGCAGCCCTGCCCCCAGAAGGAGTTCCGGGTACAGTTCTCACCTTTGCATTTGTTTCTGGTTGCCGTTGGGCAGTGGAAGGATGGCTGTGCCACAAGGGAGCAGATTTTGGCCAATGACACTCTCATAGCTCTTGTGAGAGGTAGTTAGAGACAACAGGACCAGGAAGTTGGGGAGAAGAAGAGCGAGGAAGTAGGTGGCAGGGTCGGAAGTTGGTGGCAGCATACAGGCTTCCAAGGCCAGGAGGGGCCAAGAGGTGAGAGATGAGGCTGAAGGGTGGCTGCCACCTCGGAGCCTTGGGAGTAGCTGGGAGGACTGTGGGCTTTGTCCTGTAAGTGAGATGGAAGCCACTGGAAAGTCTGGAGCAGAGAGGTACTTTTCTGACCTCTATTTTGGAAAGATCCAGGATGGAAGCTGGGAACCAGTTAGGGAGCCACCCAGTCTACCATGGGGTCAAGTCCCAGCAACTCCCCAAGGGGCCTTCCATCTCTAGTTTGAGGCCTCACAGCTTCTCAGGGGTCAGTCCCAAGCTTGAAGGGAGACATGGCGCCATGAAGGTGAGACTAGGGCGGGAATGCACGGCCCGGTGTGATAGGTGGCCTGCCACAGGCAGGGCACACAGATGCTCGGTGGTTTTTTCTTTCGGGAAGCTGTCATTTTACAAGGCTGTGCTCTGTGCCAGGCCCCGTGCTGAGCGCTTCACATACCCTTCTTCCCAAGTCATCACACCAGACCTTGAGTGTGTTACCGTCCCTTTTACAGATGAGAACACTGAGTCTTGAAGGAGGCTAAGTGGAACAGGAGGCAGGCTGGCCGTAGCGTAGAGCCCGGCAGATGGTCACGGTTCCTGCGTGCAGCTTCACACTGCCGCTGTGTGGCTGTCCCACTTACAGAGAGTTAGAATGGGAGGCAACTTGCCGGAGTCTTAACATCTGTTGGTCCATCCGGCCCTGAAGTCAGTGGTGTTACCAGTATTCCAGGTTGTCTGAAAGGTTCTCAGGAGCAAAGGTGACTGAGTCAAGGGAAAGCTCCCCTCCTCAGCCTGCCATGTTCAAGGGACATCCTTCTAGCTTCAGAAATCCTGATGAATGCAGACACTGGGCCAAAATGCTTCTCCCTGAAGTCAGTTAAAGTCCCTGAAGCCTCTGGTGGACAGAGGCCAGTTCCACCACCCTGCAGGGGAACAAGGCAGTCCCTTTCTGGGGCAGATAGGAGCCCAGAGAAGTGTGTTGCTTATGGAGGGGTACACAGCAACCCAGAGGCATGGCTAGAGCCAGAATCAGGCCTCCTGGCCCGAAGCTCTCACCCCTGCACCACCTCACAGTGAGCCCACAGGAAGGAAAACACACACATCCTCTACTTGGAGAAGAGCGGAAACAGATATCTAATTACCACTCATTCATCTCTATAACCTCAGAGGTTTAAGTGACTCCGGCCAGCTTAGAATATGACTTGTTAAAACCCTGGTAGCAGCCACCTGCCCCCAAGGTGCTTAAGACAGGCAGGGCGGTGAGGCTCGCAGCCCCACTCCATCAGCATGGATGCCGAGCAGCAAAGTACTAAACTGAGTCAGTGCCAACTATGTGCACAGCCAGGGTTTGCTCCACGGGGTTCCGAGGGCTGCTTACAAGTCCTGGGTGTGGGGCCTCCGGGCCTCCGGAGAGTGCTGGATTAGGTGCTCGACTAGAGTCCTCCCTCTACCACCAGCTCTGGCACCTGAGGTTGTTGTTATGTGCCATCGAGTCGAACCTGATTCATAGCGACCCTCATTGGGTGTCCGAGGCAGTATCACTACGGCAGTAGATTGCCCTATCTTCCTTTCGAGGAGTGGCTGGTGGGTTTGAACCGCCAGCCTTCTGGTTAGCAGTCAAGTGCCTTAGGCACTATGCTACCAGGCACCTGAGGTTAGATAATCTCATGTTTCTAAGTCCTGAAGCGCTCATCTGAACCCCCTGGTATCTTTTTGGAAGTGGCAGAGAAGCTTTGCCCCGGGCCATTCAGGGCTCCGGAGTCCCTGGGCTGGTGTGGTTCACCCCACAGCGAGACACCCTCTGCTGCTTCCTTTAGCAGCCCCTTCACCTGCCACCACAGCCACACTACACCCTACAGACACACACCATACCACAGCACACCACACACTCACACCACACACCATTCCACACTACACACACCACACCACATACACACACCACACACCATACCTTACCACACCATACACACCACACACTCACACCACACACCATACACCACACCACACCACACACCATACCATACCACACGATACCACGTACACACACCCCACCACACCCCATATACCACACCATACCACCCATACATACCACACACCATACCATACCACATACACACACCTCACCACACCACACCACACATACACCCCACCACACACCATACCACACCACACCACACCATACCACATACACACACCACACCATACCACACACACACCACACACCATACCATACCACACTGCACTACATACACACACCTCACCACACATCATACCACACTGCGCTACAACATACACATACCACATACACCACACACCACCATACACACACACCACACACTACCACAGCACACCATGTACACACACCATACACAGCATACCACACTACACCACATACAGACACCACACACACATACACACATACACAAACCTCATAGCACCCCACACCACACACACACCACAACATATAACACTACACAAACCACATCACATACCCACACCACATCACACAGGCCTCCTGACCCAAAAGGAGCTCCCACTGCCCCCCCCCAGCCTCCTGCAGTACACCCCTCTCTCACCCAGATGGAGGACAGTGGTGAGAAGAGCCTCAATGACTGGATGGTGAGACAAGGCATGGTGAGGAGGGCCAGGCCCTGTCCCCATGGAGAGCTGGGCACTGCTACTCATGCAAAAACGGGGCCAAGGAGCAGCTGTCTGAGGGAGTACGACCTGCAGAAGACCAGGGGTTGGGGGTACCATGAGTGCCTGTGCCAACCAAGGGCCCCAGCTGGGCCTCAGCCTCTTCCAGGTTGGCCCAGTGGGTCCCAGTCCAGCATTCAGCATGGTCCTACTCCCTCCACTCTCGCTTCCTCAGCCCCAGGGCCTAGTTACTGCTCCTGACTTGTAGATGGTCACAGCAGCCCCTCTGGCAGCAAAGGGGTGACCTGGGACGCTGAGTGGGAGAAGGGCTGCTGCTGCTACTTTGGAAGGGGACCCCTGCCTCTTCTCTGGGCTCTGCTGTTCCCGGTGGGGTCCTCGGGGCTGCTGACAGAGCTTGGGGCTTGACCTGGCTTGGGTGGAGAAAGACTCTCTTGTCTTTCCCGCAGTAGCTAACTAGTAGCTAACTAGCATTTCTTGAGCGTCTGCTCTGGGCCAGGCACTGGGCTAACCACTTTATGTCCACGAGCTCCGTTAATCCTCCCCGCAGCCTCCAGGTGCTGTCCTATCTTTCCTCTCACAGGTAAGGGAAATGAGGTTCAGAGACATTCAGTAGCCCCCAGCGGAGCTGAGATAGACTCGGATCTTCCTGACTCACAGCTGGAGTTCCCATCCAAAGGCCATGAGAAAGGGAAAGGGTCTAGAAAGTCATTCCCAGGCCCTGTGCAGGAGCCCTCATGACAGAGCCTGTCTTTGTGGCCCGGGTGACCTGTCCTCTCCATAGAGCAGCCCTCTGAGTCCACCCCCTGGCCTTCTCTGGTCAGCTGGTGTCCTCCCTCCTCTGAAGCCCCATCCACAGCCCTTTCTGCAACCCTGTGTCTGCAGAGGTGCCAGGAGACAGACCACGGATTCTCCCTTGTCCCAGATAATGGCTGGAGAGGACATCCTGTTTCCGCCCTGGGCATTGCGGATTCATTTGTAAAAGCCCCCGACCTGTGGTGTAGTGGCCCTTGGACCCCAGGGCTGGGCCCTCATTGTTGAGCGGACCCAGTCACTGTCCTGGGCCTTGATGCAAGGCCCCCCTGCAGCTGGGAAGAGCCCCACCCCCACTCCACCAAGTCTGCTGGTCCTTCACCTCCCACACTGGCACAGTGGGCACAATTGTGGGTACCAAGCAGCTAAACAGGAGAGTCTTTGGATTCTCCAGGTGGCCCGGGAGTTGTCTGGAGGAGGGGATGCAGGGTCTCTACCCTCCGAGGAGGATGGGGCGAGACCAGCTGCCTACTTCATAGGGAGAACTGAGAACTGCAGAGCTGGCAGGACCGCCAGCACGCTGCCCCTCCCCGTCTCACCCTCCGCCCTGCCTTCCAGATCCCAGTCACCCAGGCCTGCCTCATGGAGGACATCGAGCAGTGGCTGTCCACTGATGTGGTAAGTTGGCGCTCACCCAGCCCACCCCTCAGCCACCCAGCAAATGGGGTCCAGTGCTGCAAAAGAGGAAGCTTGGATGCTGGGGTCTTGCTTTTCTCCTGAGGAAATGGGTGTCCACGGGCTCAGGGTGGTGCCATGCGGTGCCCTGCAGGCAGGGTAGACAGCTGGAGAGGAAGGGAGAGGGCAGATGCAGGACACCTCAGCAACCAGAGGGGTCCCCATCTTCCACCCCCCCACCTGCCTCTTCTCTTTAGACAAGATGGCCAAGGGGCCTGGGCACAGCACAAGGCTCAGCCCCTCCCAGCCTGACTCTAAGGTGAACTGCCCTCCATCTCTGGAGGCATGGTGCACACCTCTGTCCACCCCCGAGGCTGGAAGGAGGAAGGGGACTCACTGCTGGGCCCCACGCCCCACGCAGGGCACTCGGCGTGTATTACACCAGCCTCCCTTCCCGGCCGCCAACAAGTTAGCGTCACTGTCCCCATTTTACTGAAAACAGGCTCAGAGAAGTGCTGTGACAACAACGAAGCTCAGCCAAGAAAGGGGTGGGGCCGAGCTTGGCACCTGGGCCAGCTGGGCCACAGAACGAATGGGGACTGCTGTGGTGCGGTGATGTCCGAGCCTTCACCCTACCCACAGTGCCAGGCGCACAGAGACCCCGGCTAAGCCCTCCTCCTCTCCTGTTTTCTCAGGGCAATGACACTGAAGAGGCAAAAGGAGTCACCAGTGAAGGTAGTAGTCCCCTGGCCCTGCCCACCACCCCCGCCTGGAGCTGCCTGGAGCCCACACCCGCCCTCTCTCCCCTAGAATTTGACAAGTTCCTGGAAGAGCGGGCCAAGGCTGCTGATCGGTTGCCCAACCTCTCCAGCCCCTCAGCCGATGGTCCACCAGGCCCCTCTCCTGGTGCCGCCCCTCTAAAGAAGACCCAGGACAAAGATGATGACATGCTGTTTGCCTTATGAGTGTTGTGCCTGGCTCCACAGCCCAGGTCCCCACTGCTCCCACACCCGCGGCTGGGGCCTCTCTTCCCTCCTTTGGTGTTTAGGCTGCTTTGGGGGGCTGTCCCCTTCTCTCTCTCCGATGGAGCTGACCCAGCTGCAGGCAGGCCATGCAGCCTGGGGGTGGGTAAGCAGCTGGGTGATTCAGGGAACAGGTTGGTTCTTCACTGGGAGCCTGCCCACCCCTGCCTCTTTCCCCACCACCACCACCACTACCACTACGGCTTTACTGAGAACAGGGAGACTGTGTCATGGGCTGGCTGCCTGGATGCCCTGGTGTGACTCTTCCCTGTCCTGGGTGACCCCCTCCATGAGTGCATCCCCAAAGGAGCACCTACAGGGCCCACACTGCCAGGCGAGGACTTGCTGGGGTTTAGGGAGAGGAAAAGCCCTTTGCCACATCTCTGGTCCATCCCGCGGCCCCGCCTCGTGGGGCCCTGCGGCTTTAGCTGGCTGGTGAGGGCAGCGTGTGACGGCCCTGTTCAGAGCTGCACGTTGTCCAGGTCCAAAGCTGTACCTGCGGGGGTGGCAGGCTGAAGCTTCGGGGGTGCCACCATGGGCCCCACCACCGCTTCTGAAGCCTTTTCCATCATCTTTTCTCTGTTCCTCCCAGACAGGCCTCCACTGGGTCCTAGGGCCCACGTGTTCTCCACCCCCTTCACCTGGGAGAGGTGCCTTTTATATCCCCGATTAAAGGCAGAAAACCAGCCTGCTGGCTCAGTGTTGTCAGTGGCCACAGGAGAATTGTCCCCTTGGCCTGGTCTGGGGGTGGGACTACTTTGGGCTTAGCTGGTGGCCGCCTAGAGGTGGGTGTCTGCAGATGGAGCAGCGCCTGACACCCAGCAACAGCTGCTCACACGCAGCCCAGTGTCACCTCACCCTGCTAGGAGGCTCTGCCGGCCCCTGCCCCACTAGCACGTTGATCCCAAGGAAGGAGCACATGTAGACGGGGTGTGCGTGTTGGGTCGATGGCCCACAAGGAGGGTAGCAGCCATCCA